ATATATTGTGCAGGGCTGTTACTATAGTAACCATTGCATTAACTATTCTGATGAGATTAAAGTCCATTCAGAAATGAGTTCTTCAGACACTCTAAACCTCAAAGATATTCTCTTATTGACCGCAGATGACACGCATGATCGAAAATATTCACATTTTGGGAGGCTGACTTATTATCTGAGTGACAGATGGGGATGTGGTGGTCAGTGCTCCATATTTCTTGTTTTTCTGCTGGCACACAAGTGAAGACGGTGTGCTGAAGAGCTTCATGGCTCAGGCTTTATAGGATTAAAGAAATTTAGTTGCTTTCTATGATAGCAAAAATAAATACACATTATTCATAAACTACACGATCCTGCTCTGATCACCAGTTGTATGAGTTGATATTCTTCATGCTGTTGTCATAGCGATGCTGAGATGCTCTAAACTGTGTCATTCATCTGTACCTGATAATCCATGAGTGACCTGTACACTTTTTACATTTTTTAGACCACACAAGTGGTTCATTCGCTGCCATTTGCATTTGCACGTTTAAGTATTCGGCTATTTTAAGAGATTCAAATTTTTGTGGCCATCATCTGCCTCGCTGTGTCCTGTCTTTTCACAAACACTTTTTCTCCCCTTTATCAGCTCCACAGGTGATTAAGAGTGCAGTGTCCCCTTACCAGGCAGAGGTTCCTCACTGAGAGCAGTGGTGTCCACAGTTGAAGGAGGCTGTGCTATGTGCTCTGTGGGTGGGGTCTGGGGAGAACTCGTATGAACTGGCAAGAGCTCTGATTGGAGGCTCCCCTCCACTTGGTTTTGGGTGGGAGTACTCTGGAGAAGCAAAGGAGAAGGCCATCACCAAATGTAAACACAAGTCACAGCTATATCTTCTCCAAGAGTGCGGCGTAGTAAATGCAAGAAGTGAGGGCTGCAGGACAGCTGCGGACCCACACTGAGAGACAGACAGAGGGAGAGAGAGGGGGGAGGCCTGCGCGACAGCACGCGAGCTGTTAAAGTGAAAGCAGAGCAAAGAGGAAAGAGAGAGGCCTACCTGGAAGAGAAAATTGCTCCAAGCAGCATCCATTTTGCGCCACAGCGATGGAGATTAGAAAGTCAGCTCTGGATTGAGATCGAGGAGAGCGGTCTTTGCATCGCTTTCTTCGGGTCGGCCCGCCGCTGATCGGGGCGCAAACAGCCGCCTGTCCGGCAGCGGAAACGCCGGGCTCCCGGATCCTCTGGAAAAACGCGAAAAAAGCCGTCTGCAAAAATATGTTTCTCTCATTGAGGTAGCCTAGTGCTGACGATTAAAATGCACGCAGCTGTTGACTAACGCACGCTGCGGTACACAGGCAGTGGTGGAGCAGGCCAGGCCAATAACAGCCCGTTTCTCTCTTTGACTTTGGTTTCTAACTTTAATTAATTTAAACAGCAGTCTCACTGAAGCGCATGATCACACAGTCCAAACTACTTCCAGAAAAAAAGAAGCAAAAAACAAAAAACCTCGCATCTCACACTTTAGCAACAAACAATAAGCCAACCTGCGTGAAATAAATGCGTATTTTTACGCAAAAGAACAAATATGGGTTATAACACACGTATCTGGCAGCACAGCAGGTCATGCTTTGTTTTTAATTTATGAATCCAAATATTTTTTTTCCGATTCCCCCCCAAATAGGCCAATCGGGTGTTTGTCGAAGCCTCGCTGTTGGATTCAAGCCCTGACCCCGGCGAGCGGCGCTCTCGCCGGGCCGCAGCCTATCGCTCCACCTCGGCCGTTCAGCTGCGAGGATGTCATCTTTCTTTTTTTATCGCCCGCTCTCCCTCCTCCCTCCCTGTCTCTTTCTTCCTTTTCTTTTTTAATTCCTCTTTCTTCTCCCCCTCCTCTCCTTTTCTCGCACCGCTATGTCCCACTTGCTCTTAAAGGGATAGGGTTTCCTCTTTGGACACCCCCCTCTCATTTCCGTCTCTCTCGGCGGAGCCCTGTCCCTTCTCCCGCTTCCTTCCTGGGTTTTCGGCCGACACAAAATCCACTCGTGCGTGTTTTTTTTCTCCCCGCCTTCCTCCAGCCAGGCCCTTACTGAACAGATCTGCGCCGCAGAAAACAGCCGGAGTGACTTTCCATTAACGGAGCGATGACAGACGCATCTTAAAGGGCAGTGCGCACAGATCCTCCCAGTCAGGCTAATGATGTCAGAGATACAGTGGAGGACAAATAGCAGCTCAGGATATGAACACAATGGACGAGAGTAATTGTTTAGCGAAGCATTTGTCTGCTTAGGGGGAAAAAAAAAACAATTAAAAGGATTTGAATATTTGACTTGACTTTTTATTTTTATAAAACGAATATATTATAGCTAATTAGAAAAGTTTGTGTCATCATCATAGGGAAATCATTTCATTTTAAACTAAGGAGCCCAGAAAATCACTAGGATCACTGGTAAGTGTAAGAATAAAGGGTCCATCTTCAGTTATGTATGATTAGTGATGTCTAACTGAATAAAACAATATGAGATCCTGAATTTTAAAGAGGGGGACTTTAACTGGGAATACGGAGGACCAAGTATGCCAATGAAAAAAATGCATTAAATTAAAAAACTGTAACAAAAATATTATTACAAATAAATATCATACAAGTAATAATAATAATAATAATAATTATAATTATATATATATATATATATATATATATATATATATGTATTTATATATATATATATATAGGTTTCCTTCCTACCGCACTAGGTTTGTTGATCAGCAAAAACCTGGGCTTTTTCTATATAAAGACTAACTGCAGACTGTAAATATTAAAATTGGAAAAATGATACAAAGGAATTACATTGAAAACTTTGATTGATTTTATTTAAAAAATAAAAATACATTGATAAATAACATTAAATAAATAAATGGGTAAATTCAAACGCAAATAAAAACAACTGTCTAACTGATGATACCAATTTATTTACAGTCATTTAAAAAAAAAATGTTAAATTTTGGTCCTCCATATTTTGAGCCCCCTACTGCCTAAAAATATTTAAAAACACTGACAGATGTTCTTTGCCATATCTTAAAAAAACAGAAAATATTCCCACTTTAGAAACTGAAACTAAGATCATTTAGGCCCCTTTTTCAGATACTTAAAAGTTACGTGAAAACCAGAAATCAAATCAAGACAAGTTAATGTGTTAATATCAATTTATTATCTTTTTTTTAATTACTTTTTTAAAGCACCCCATTTCTTTTCCAGTACATGTGTTAAGACCCTTATTCCTCTCCTTCCTCAAGCTTGGAATTGCTTGACTTGAATATTTAATAAGAATTTCAACACCCTCCCCCCAAAATCTCTGCAAAGCACCGCCGAGCATGTGTTCAATCCTCATCCTCCTTCATCCAGGGCTCGCCACAGGAACCGAGACTCCCCTGCCTCTCACCGAAACCCCTGACAGCCGGTCTAAAAACACAGTCACACTGATGTCCCCACACACAACGGCCGTCTCCAATCCACCAGTCTTAGTTTATATAAGGAGTTTATGCATGCACTGAGATTCCAACCAAGCATAAAGTAGTAGGTTATACAGGGAATTGTCTTGAGCTGGTGTTTCTGAGTCATACAAACAGCAGGGTGATTATCCTTTTTTCCATTTTTTTTTTAAATAAAGTAACAATAATTAAAAAAAACAGAAACAAAAAAGTTATTTCTGATCTTCTTCAAGTAAATGTCAGCCCACGAGACCCTCTGTGGGCGTCACACCAAACACTGATGGGTCTTATTGATCTGTGTGGACGGGCTGCTGCTGTCACTGCTGCTGTGCCGGCACCAGAGGGCGCACCTCCACAGCAGCTCGGTCGAGGCCCGTCCTTTCACTTCCACTTACTCCTCCGCACACTTTAAAAACTTTCTTTTTTTTTTTTTTTTTAAAACATACTGATTGCATGCTGCACACTTCAGCAGTCAGATTCTCAACTTAACCCTGAAAACAAATAAAAAGGAAAACCAGCGTTTACATTCCAGTGGCCAATTTTTTTTTTCTCTATGAGAGTCCAGAAGAGGTCTGTGTTCACGTGAATAGCAGGGTGTTGTTGTAAGAGTGTCTCTTTGAAATTCAGTCTAAAAATGGGAAAAAAAAGAAAGAAGTGGTAATATAACTAGACTTTACCGCTTGACACACATACAAAATAAATCATTAACAATTATCAATAATCTCTTATTAATAATCATTAAGACCTTGAACACACCACACCTGACAACAGTTTTTATCACCTTTTTTTTGTGTTTTTTTTGTTTCTTTGTTACACAGCCAAAAGTGGGCCCTTTTTGCTTATCGCAAGAAAAAAATAAAAATAAAAAAATAACCGTGAACATGATTACAACAACACTTACATCAGGATTAGTTATGGTAATATTGACACCTATAGAAAATGCAATTGGAGCTGTCACTCTAAATCTTGAATTCAATAGTCGTTTTTGAATATATCAAAATTACTATCATTATCTTTGTTACTCTATAAAACCAAATGATTGTTTTTTTGTTGCTTTTTTCTTTAATATTCCCATAAATATGTACAGTAAAGATCCAAAAACAAACCAAATGTGGGACGAGTGATTTTAAATGCCAGTGAAACTCGGGACAGGTACGATACATTTCAAATGTGTTTCGTCATGTTTTTACAAATGTTTTTTTTTTCTTTTTTCTTTTTTGCACATCTATCTCATGCAATTGGAGTGACTCCCATAGACACCTATGTTGTTTAGATACTCAATACGTCATGGATGCCAGAAAGCTATGTGTTTTCCCCCCTCTCTCCATATGTATTTGTACATTTCCACATAAAGATTTTTCCTCATCCCATTTTTTCCTTTTTCTTTCATCTCTTTTTGTTTTTTTTAAGAAGAGTCTCTTAACTTTACAAACATTCCGTGTTATTTGTATTCGGCTTTGAATCACCTCGCAGCCGTCAAATTAAAAAAAAAATAATTCAGATGGCACGACATCCCTTTAAGAACCCCTTAAAGGCATTGGTGACGTTCTGAGCAACTTTTTTTACGTGTGTGTTTTTTCTTTTAAATACACAATACAAAAAAAGAGAGAAATTAACAAAAAAAAATTTAACGTTTAAAGCAATAAAAAAATGTTTTTTCCAAACTCCAGAAGTCTGGATATTAGAGTAACCCGCCCCCCCCCACCACCTTATTTTTCTTCTTGCATTCTGCCCATTCGGCGCGTCCAGTTTACGGGCGCTTGCTGGATAATATCTGGACTACTACGAACTACATACGAGTACACACACAAGCAACAAAACATCACCCTCGTTTCCTCCCTCGTCCTCGCTCTTTCTCCATTCCAGCAAAGAATATCATAGAAGAAGACATGGCTGCCATCCCCTCTCTCTCTCTGTGCAGTTCCAGGAGGACACATACAGGGAAAAAATGCTAATCGTCCCCACTTTCACGCACCTTATCTCACTTTTATACAAAGATAAAAACATTAAACAGAAGTGTCTTTTTTTTTTTTTTTTACCTAATGTCACCCTAATCCAGTGATTTTACAGGTGGTTACATTCCTCCCTCCCTTCCTCTTTGATACTTGTGGGAATGGAAGGAAACCTCTCCACCCACCCTGAGTCTAAAGAGGCAGGGTGCAGCTCAATAATGTCAGTTTGTCCTTTCTTTGCTTCTGATCTCTTTGACTTTCTGTGCGTTTAGAGAAAATAGCAAAGTCCCTAAATCCTTTGTGTTAAGAGTTTAGAATTGAGATCAGCCCAGGAAGGAAAGAAAGAAAGGTGGCAAGCTGAGAGTATTGAGATGCAGCCTGTGATAGCTACCTTCCTAAATCACTCCCACCGCTCTCTGCTGTTTTAACGCCTGCTGTCTAAGAGTAGGAGAGGTGGGAGCCGTTGGAGATGTGCGAAGTGACTGAGGTGCTTCGGCTCAGGACGCCGTCGCTACCCCCAGCACCTCCTGGTCCCCCGCCGGACGCCGTTCTCCTCAGAGGTTGGGGGCTGTTTCTCAGGGCCATCAGGCTGGGGGCGCCGCGCACGGCCAGCCCGCTGCCACCGCCGCCTCCACCTCCGACATAAATCCCCCCCTGTGAGGAGGAGGAAGAAGAAGAGGAGGAGGACGGCCCAGAGATGGAGGGAGGGGCAGGGGGCGGGGGAGGCAGCATCGCCAGGGACTGAGAGGAGGAGCGCGAGGGCAGGTGATGGGAGAAGGGCAGGGGGTGTGGGTGGGCCAGGTCGCCGCCGGAGCCCCGCACTCCGGCCCACTCCCGCTCCCGCTCCTTCTCCCGCTCCCTATCTCGATCCCTCTCTCGCTCGCGGTAGAGCTGTGGCGTGCTCTGGTGGTGGTAGTGCTGGGGTAGGTGGTGTCGCTGGTGGTGGGAGGAAGACGAGGAGGAAGAGGAGGAGGAAGAAGAGGCAGAAGAGCGCGACGAGTGGTGCATCTCCCTCCCCTCCCGGCCCAGCCCCAGGGCCATGCCCAGGCCGTGCGAGGAAGAGGAGGACTCGCCCCTGCGATCCCCGCCGCCGCTGCTGTTGTGGCTGCGGCGGGAGAGCTGCTGCGAGGGCACGTTCTGCGGGTGGATGCCGTGACTCCAGTGGCCAGCTGAGCGGGAGCTGGAGGGCGGCGCGTTGGAGTAGCCTTGCTTGGGGTAGGCTTCGCTGGGAATGCCGGTCAGCGCCATGTTGCTAAAACCCAGACGTAGGCTCTCTGCATCAAACGCCTCGATCTCGCTGGCCTGCCGTTCCAGGAGGGTGCGGATACGCTCTGAGCGCTCGTTCTGCAGGGACAGCATCTCCTCCTCGATCTAACAAAACATTAACAAAAACACATGTGCAATCATTGCAATAATAATAAAAAAAAAAAGTACTTAAAAGTAGCGATTCAGACCATAAACTAACCAGGAATGAAGTTAATGAGGTCAAGTTATAATTGCAGTAATTTATCCACAGATTTCTTTTGTTGTTATAAAGACTGCCGGGTTAAGACACATCTTCACTGGATTCCTGTTTTGGATGACTACACCCATCTTTTATGAACAGTCTATGACTCTTCAGTCAGTCTGAGGACATGGAGAGCTTTTTATCATCATCCTTCGTAGACGGAGCTGCCCAGATGTCATTGTGAGATATCAATAAAAGTGAGGAGGAACTGCAGGCATTAGATTGTAACTGTTAACTAATAGCTACACAATCCTCCATTATTTCCAGCTAAAAAACAAACAAACAACAACCTCTTTCCACTTTCCATAGAAGAACAAACAGAGGTCTATGTCATTAAATAAAGCTCCAAAAACAGCTTGCAAGGGGACACTGTGTTAAAGGTGCCCAGACAGCAGACAGATCTGAGCCTAATCTGGACTATTTTTGGCACTTATTTGCTACGTTTGGCTCAGTTACAACACCGGCCAGAGGTGACTCAAAAGTCCTGACATGCTTGAATTTTGGCCCGTGCAAGGTGGCTAAACTGAGACAACTAGACTACGCATCAGGGAGGGGCACAAGTCGAGGCCAAATGTGGCCTGTAGGAGAACTTTGGATGACGGACACCAAAAACATCTTGCCCTCTTGGAGTTGTCAGCGACTGTTATTTATCATTCAATGTGCTAGTGAAAAGATGAGCTACACCTGTCTGGGATCTTCTCTGTTTGCTTGCTTGAGGTCCTTGCACTTTATTCTAAGAAGCTTTACTTTGAACACGAGTGACAAAAGGCTCTAACCCTCTGTTCCAGCAGGGCCCGGCGGATGGACACCCTCTGCTCCAGATCCTTGACTTCTCTCTCGTGCTGCGTGTCCGTGTGGATCTTGATCTTGCTCTGGTAGGCGTTAAGCAACTCCAGCTCCTGCTGCAGCTGCATCCGCAACACCTTGTACTCCGCTTCCTGCGTCTCATCCAGTCGAAGCTAAGAGGAAGAGAAAAAGGAGAGTGTTTAAGTGGAAAAAACAAACCAAGAGAGATCTGAAGAAGCTGGAATCACTTTGCATGTGGTCATAAGGTTAGAAGAGCAAAGGGAAGAAAAGGGGAAAGGATTGGGAAGTTAATAAAAGCGTGTGTGCATATTCAACATATTCCAAAATAAATCAATAAAAGAATATTTTCTTCAAAGTGTTGAAGTGCTTCGACCTCTGTGTGTCATGTCTGTTTTATAGTTTGGCTCATGTTTCAGATGACAGACAGATAAATATATATTTTCCTGACCTCTGGATTATAAGTTTAATCAGTGTTTGGGAAACCGTCCCAAACAGACTTTAGCCGCAGTAGCAGCATGAGTAGAACAAACAAGGGCGGCGGGGATTTGGCTTAGCGGACCAACGTGGTGCTCTTCCGTATCGAGGTAATTAAAGCAGCGCAGAGGATCATGTTATCCAAGAGACATTTTGTTACGTCCCATCGTCTTCTTACTTTGTTTCATTCATTTAGGAGTTTAGGATTTACATGTGAATGACTCCGACACTAAGAGGCCGGCGACTGACTGAGAGAAGCTTTTACAGGATGGTCTGAAAGTGATTCAGGAGGCACAGGCTTAGAAAATGAGGGCACCTTTCACAGTGAAAAATAGAACCCTGTCTATTATCAATCAGCTTATTTCTTGCTTAATATGTAAAAGAGAACGGGTCGCAGGCTTCAGCGGTTTAAATCAGTCTAAATTACATTTAAACTTTATTGTAGGTTCTGCTGTGATTCATGTGGCATTTAAGCCTCACTTAATTATCTTCTTTTTCCTTAAACTGGAGTCACTGCAGCTGTGAAGTGGAAAACAAAGCACAGCAGAGATGGGATCTTTGCAGTGTTGCATGTGGGAAAAAGACCTTGTTGGGCCACGGCCGGATTGATCTCCTGAGGAGTCCCAGGGCATCACTTGTTTGTTGGGCCTCCCAGGTTTTCTTATTTCCCCAGGGTAGGCTAAAATATTCAAACACTTTAGATGTTAATGAACTGATTCACAGGCTGAAAGTTTAGTGGTTTAACTGTGTTATGATTTTACTGGCATGGTTCATAATTTGCTGTGATGATAAAGGAACAGCCTGAGAGTTCATCTGTGGTCCAACAACAGCAACATCCTTGACTTTATGGTCCGCTGATTACACATTCATCATTGACCAAACAGCCTCAATTAAAAATTAAACACAACCTGGCACAGCTGATATTTTACCTAAGTGCCAGTTAGACGTTATTGCTCTAATTACACAACATGGCTTAAAATTTATTCAGAGTTTAGTCAATTACTACACTCCGTTTAGGAAAAGTGATACATTTATATAAAATGATAAAGATAAACTGAGTTTATAGCACTCTTATGTGGCTGAATAAGAGCCCTGAATTTATGGCTATAGCACAACCTCTAACATTTATCTTCTGAATCTCTCACAAAGCTGTCATCACGTTTTCCTCTCTTCAATATTCTTACTTTGAATGGATGTTTTTTTGAGGAAGGACCTGTTTAACTGCAGGGGCAGGTTAGCAGGACAGATCACAAGCTACAAAACTTAGTTAACACTGAGGGACCAGGAGGTGGTTGGTTGGCGGGCAGGTAGACAGGCAGGCAGGAAGATCCCCCAAGCCAGGCACAGCAGTGGTGCTGGTGGTGTGGTGCGAGTGTAAAGTGAACGACGTCTCCTTGCCTTACTCACAGCTTGTGTGGACAGCATGTCATTGATGGAGTGGTCATACTGCTCGGCCAGGATGGCCAGCTTACGAGTCTGCTCATCCTTCAGCCGCTTCAGCACGGCCTTGTGGTCCGATTTGGGCGTGTTCTCCAGCAGGTGGTTGCGCAGGGCCTTGTACTGGCGGGTTTGGATCTTGCAGGTGTCCTGGAACTGACGCTTGATCTGAAGCTCTTTGGACTGGAGGAGACAGAAGAAAGATGGAAGCAGCTCGGCTAAAGTGCTCCTATTGATTGTAGAAATGATCATGCTGACAGATGTGACAGACGTGTCAAACATTTTACATGATATTTAAAGTGTAAACACCTGCTGAACTGTTGGATGACACTATCACGGCCACATAAGGAAATGTCCTTTGTCATGAAAACACATGTTGGAGATTTACCGTTTATGAAGACTTGTTGGATGTTTAAAACGCACATGATCTAAATTCTAAGGCGTCTAAAAATCACATTCTTATTATGAATGTCTGTATCTTTGATTAACATTTATATTTAAGAGGTTGGATTTATAACATTTAAATAAACATATAAGGAAGTCCTACTTAATTCCAGTGTAATCAAAGCTCTGCAATGGTCTTAATGAGATGACTTGGCTTCTTTTATTTAAATAAATGTAACTTTTCTTGTTGCTTATGTCAATATTATTTCCCTCTGAAGAAAGTGCTTGAAATCAGAAGGGTCAGAGGGAGTAGCAGAGTAACAAAGTTTAAGCCCTGCTTTGGTGTACTGAGAAAAAGATTAAAACATCACGTTGGCCGATGACTTACTGGGGCAAAGTTAAATGGCTGTGTGAGATTACAGTGCAAGGAAAATGTAATACACTGATCCAAGGCAAAGCATGAAAGCATGCAACCTAAATAAATAATGTAAAACACACTTTCTAAATAGGTAGGAAAAGGTTTTGCTGTCATAACCTAACATTTTGTGGGGACCTAATCTGGTCCTGTAACTGTTAATCATCACTATGTGTGAGCTCTTTAATGAAAATGAATATTTTTAAATGCTAAAGTATAATTATTTTGCTATCCATTTTTAATTCCCCTCAAAAAAAAAAAAAAGAGGCAGGAATTAATAGTAAAGCACATTATTATTTAATTAAGGTGCCAAATATCTTTTATTTCAATTAGTTTTAGTGGTTGAATGTTATGCTTGATTAATTTCTGACTTCTCTGAGACACATCCGTTGTGCCGACTCAAATTTCTGTGTATAAAACATCAATTCAGTCAATTTTAAACACGTTTTGATGAACTTAAAGTTGTTTTGTTTTAATGACAGGCAGCCTGATACATTTGTAAAGCACTGTATATAAATGTATATATGTAAAAACACTTTCTAGGACCTTTAATCTGAAGTTTATTCTTAAGAATGAGCCTTTCTGTATATTTGTCAGGCGATAATAAATCAAGAATTGTTTTCTTGGCTGATTGTACTGCACAAACTAATGAGTCATGTCCAAGAAAAACTGATCTCATTTCACTAAAACCTGATCAATACTCTGCTGTTAAACAAACGGCCCAGACCTCGAGCATAATCTGGATCAAGTTGAATCAGACGATTGCCATTTAAGATCATAAATATTTGCAAATTATAATCACAATTTTATGTTTATACTTGCTAGTAATGTTTTTGGTGGCTTATAAATGGGGGCAAAAAGGGGACGACAGACAATAGGAATGTGTGATGATACAGGAGGAATGAACAAAAAGGTAAAAAGGATTCTTTGTGCAGTAAAATAAGGAAGAAAGCAAATGGAGACATGATAATAATGGAAACAAAAACAAAAAAATCATAAAAACAAACAAGACAATGATTTGAACACAAAAGAATTTATTTTTGTGTATGACAAAATGTTTCTCTATGCTTGCGAGCACACGGCTGTACAGTATGCCAACACTCATGCAGCTAAAATGAGAATAAAAGGACGCCGAAATGTCTGTCCAACACAATGCAGCACTGGTCTTATAAATACTGCATTAATTAAATATATATATTAAAAAAAACTCAAGGTGATATAACTCTGTGGAAACACTCAGTGTCACAACAAAACAGAATGCAGACATGTAAACATACACAAAAGGAACAAGTTACATTCAAATAAAACATTGATTGAAACTTCTCTTTTAAAGCTCGAATTGCAAGATGCAAAAAAACAACAACAAAAAAACCCCAAACACAGTTTTTCCTTTTCTTTGGGTGAAAATACAGTTAAGACTGAGCTTTCCTACTCAGTACCGTCCCTCCACAAAAACAGCTCACATGTGGCGACACAAACAAAGCTCTTTATTCCTGCATTTTTAAGCGCTAACGCATTTTACGAATTTGCTCCGGCTTCATTTAGATGAACTCAAAGTATTTTGGTGTTTAGCAGAGACACAAACAGCAGAATTAACCGTGGGTTTCTTTTGGTCTGACTGACACTGAGCTGAAATGATGAACTGACTGATCAGAAAGTTTATTTTCTCATCATCATCATCAAGGCTCAAACATTTTGGTTTTCAGCTTCTCTGATTATCTTTAGGTTTTAAGAGCCCGTCGGCCGGGTGAAGTGGAGTTGCGATGGGTCTATTTTTTAAGCTTCACGAGCTAAAATTGAAACGATCTTTTCATAGATATTTGTATTTCTTTAATAACTTTCTATACAGTGCAAAACAAAATATTGATAGAATCAGATATCTGCCTTCTGTTCATTCGACCTGCTTAGCCTCATTTTTCACATTCAGTAGTTTCAATCTTTTTACTATAATTCTACCTCAAAAGATTGTCTATATGGCTTCATATTAAACGAGTTACATTGAAATATTAAACAGTTTCTTATACTTTCACTATGCAAAAACATATCCTGATTATCCTGATTCCTCATGTTTCCGCTATAGATTTAGGATATCACTTCACAACAGACTCTTGAAAGCAGGCGCTTCTTATTCCATCTCTACGAGTGAAATGTTTACATGGTAAATCATAACAAGATTATTGCACAACATGCAATAAAACATAATAGTCATAATATCTAACTAGAATCTAGATGATGTATTCAACTAGCTGCATGTATAATAATAATAATAATTATAGCAGTAATATGCAGAAACGTATTCTAGTTCAACTGAATATGTTTTTTGTTCCAGCTAAATGGCCCCATACTTAATCATTTAAGACCAAAATATTAATAATTATTCCTCTCTGCTCTCACGATGGTCCGAGACGTCTCCACTCAGCGGTTTATTGCACTTTTCAGTCGGCTGAGAGCTAGTGTTCAGGCTGATGTTAGTGAAATTATTGACGATCTTTCATTTTCACAGTACTTTGTGCTTTGGGGAGAGATATTATAGCCGTGGAGCTACATAACACTCTAATATTTGTTCGAAGCACTGAGGAAACAGCGCACCCTGTGAAGTAAGACAACTATAAAGAAGAACAAAAGATTGCACAAAAAACGGTCTCAAAAATAACCATAAAAAAATATCTGTCTTACAAATTAAGAGCAAAATAATAAAAATTAAAGAAACTTCTAAAGGAACTTTTACAAAAAGCAAAAATAATGAAATATTAAAACTTCACTGGGTTTCATTCAGCAACTGTGGGTTCGACAGCTTGTTCAAGTTGCTTGAGCCAGCTCATTCAGTAATATGGCTGTTATGTGCGTGCGCACACACACACACGCTTCTGGAGCCAGCGCACACAAACCTCTGTGCATACGAGTGTGTGTGTGTGGGTTAAATACGGCTCATCTTTAAGAAATGTGACCAGTTTGAGTAACAAAGGAGACAATGTGGCCCAAACACGCAACAAATGGCTGCACAATGGCGTGCACACACACACACGCACGCTCGCACACACACATTCACACAATCTCACACCAAAACGTTCCCGACATGTCTCACTCTTGCTATCTCCATGGCCGAATTTTCCCCTTGACAAACCGTCCCGATGAAGTTCGTCTCAACCCACACTCCCACCTCGTCTCCTCACGGAACATCCTCTCCCTCTCTTCCCTCCTCTGTCTCTCCCTCTCTCTCCTCCTCCTCTCCCTCTGTCTCCTCTCTCTGACCTCCCGGGGCAGCAGGCGCGGTAACCTGCTTGGAATTTCTTTTTTCAAGATGCCAAGGGTTTGGAGTTTTATTCTGACCCTGAGCGGCAGCTTTTTAACGACCTGCCGGGCTAGTTTTAGCACTACAGAGTTAGCTAGATCTGCCAAGACGCCGAGGGGGCGTCTGCCGAAACGCTTCACCCACAGCAGGCCCTTGGCTACAAGAGAGGTGCTCCTGCATTGAGCCTGATACTCCAAGGCCAGGCTCTTTAGTGGAACTGGGATTTTGGACTGGCGAACGCCCCAGTTGCGGCCTGCTTTAGGAAACATCTCATAAAGGTTACGCTCAGCCATACCGCCCAGCACCGACTGGCACATGGCAAACAGTGGCCGAGGCAGGCGGAAGAGGACGCGCATGCAGAGGCGGTTGACTTTGCGGGGCGCGTGCTGGAAGAAATCACGGGCTGGCCTGACAATCAGGACCACGACCAAATAGAGGGAAAGGAAAATGGAGGGAGAGCTGAGGAAGGAGGCTGAGATGAAAATAATGGGGATGTAATAAATCCCCAAACTGATGGAGAGTCCTAAACTGAAGAGGCCATTGGCCCAGAGGCTGAGAGTCAGGTAGGTGGAAAGCGACAGAGAACAGCAGGAACGAAGGAAAAGGTACGAGAAGAAGAGCGCCAAGAAGGCAAGCTCAGCAGAGAGGAGAACGGATGCCACCGAGGGCAGGGGTGGAGAGCGGCGGAGGGAGAGGAGGAAGATGGAGAGCAGCAGCAAAGTGAGGTTGGAAGGCTGTGCAGCGACAGAGAGGGAGAGGAGGAGGCAGATGCCGTGAGAGAAGAGTGAGGGGAGAGAAGTCTGGGCAGGGGGCGCGGGTGGGGGTGAGACGGGTATGGGCTCCAGCTCCTCAGAGGCGTCAGGGAAGTAAAACTCTGACAGCTCATCGATGTCTCGCTCACGCAGCCGCCTCTTTTCTGGGGACGAGGACAAGATGAGCTCCGACGGACAACCGTCAGCTACACCCCTGCCCTCTTCTTCTTCATTGGTCTCTATGTGTGCAGATTTCCCATGATCCTCTTCGTACTCCCACTGCACTCCTTCTACTTCCCTGACTTCTGTCTCCTCTTCTTTCCACTCAACTACATCTTCTGAATTACTTCCCTCCTCGTCTACCTCATCCTTCCCTTCAGCCACAGCGACACGCACACCCTCCACCACATCTACCCCTCTGCTAAAAACTTCATCTTCATCATCTACTACTCCATCAAGCTCATCCCCAACATCATAAATCTCCTTCGCCGCCACCTCGCTCTCCTTTTCTTCCTCTAGCTCCTCCCCCCCTCCCTCGCTGTCCCAGCTGCCGCTCGGCCCCTCTGTCGGCTCGCTCTTTCCCTCCTCAGGAGACCCCTGGCTCTGGGTGCTGTCACTCACTTTGAGGCTCTTGGGCTGTTGGCGGACCTCCATGGCGTGTTTCTGACGCAGCTCTTGCTCACGCCTCTTGTTATACTCCATCTGGTTGGTGAGCTCCGTCTGGTGTTGCGTGCGGATCAGCTCGGCCCGCGTACGCTGCACCAAACTCAGCTGGCGGAACTCCAGCTCCTGGGTGGATTCGTGGTGACGCAGCAGCATGGCACATTCCAAGTCCTTCAGAGTCTGCTTTTTGTTCAGATCCTGAAGAAGAAGGAGAAGAAAAAAAACAAAAGATGCAGAAGGTGATTTGTAATACTGAGAGGACAGAAACCTGCAATAGCCACCAAAGGATATCTTGTATCAAGCTACAATTACTAAAAAGTATGAATTTATGGGTCATTTATTAAAAAACAAACAAATTATTTTCTTTTTCAGCCATACTGTTGTAGATTTGCTGCTGCGCTTGGGATCATTGTCCTGTTGCATGAACCAGTTTCAGACAGACGGACTCATCTGACTCTAGAATACTTAGAGATACACAGGAGTTCATGACCCAGTGACTGCAAGGTACTGAGATCCTGTCGCTGCAAAACGAGTCCAAATCATATCCTAGTATGAAGTGTTTTTGTGCCGTTTGCTTTTCTCCAAATGTAGTGCCGTGCAAAACACGTCCACTTTAGTGTCACTTTCCAGAAGTCTTGTAGTTTATTCTGATGCTGCTTTTCAAGCCAAAGCTTTGCTGCCATGTTCTTTTTAGAGAGAACAAGCTTTCTCCTGAAATCTCTTCCAAATCTCTTTTTCTAAGTGTACTGTCATGAACTTAATACTTGATACTAATTGAGACCTGAAGAGTCTGAGATGGTTTTTTGCACTCCCTCTAAATACTGCAGTTTG